TAACCCACAATTGGAAGAACATTTAGGGACATAGGTAGTATTTTATTTATATTCAGTGCGGAAATCCCTTATATTTCGCCTTGTTGTCTACTTGTCTTGTCTATAACATTAATTGATTTGTTCTCCGGCCCCTATAGTTTTGCTATCAACGTTTCTTTTTAAAAAAGCTCCTTTTTTGTTTTTATTCTACTCACATGAAACATTCAAGGCAATAAGTTTTTTTTTTTCCATTTTTTTCAAAACTTTGACCAATTAAAAAATGTTCTCTCTCTAGGGTTTTACCGCTAGAACATTATTTGTCCGTTATCGACCTTTGTCGAGGAGCGGTGCCATTTCCGGCAATTCTGTTCGTATTTAGGGGCTTCCGCTGGAGGTGAGGATAGTGGAAGTCAGCAAGGTAGCCGCTTCGTACGAATTGGTTGCGAGGAGGTCAGAGCAGATTCGATTTCGGGAGCAAGGTTTTCCATCGAAGAAGAAAGCGGAGTCCGTTTCTAGCTTGGGGTGTTTCGTTGGTGGGTTAGGAGGCAGCGGAGGCTGTATGGAGCGGATGGTTGACCAGTACAAGAAGACGATTATTGAAGAGGATGCCGAGTTGTTGGATCTGGATGAAGCTGGGCTCAAAGATATCTCGGTTGAGGTACGTGACTCGACCGAGGCAAGGAGCGGAAGATGCTTCAGTACCGTTGGATCGTCCCCCTCCTAAACCGCCGTCATGAAGTGCAAGAGAGTTTAAGGTTTGGAAGCAATATTTTAATTTTACTTTTGCTTTCTTTTTATTTTCATGGTTAGACTGTTTATTTTTGTGTTGATTACTTTGATTGTTGTAAGACTCTTGCATTAGGATTGGGTGATAGGAGATTTGCTTTAACCGTCGTTGGCTCATTCATACTCATTTATAGCATCAGTGAGTTATATTGCTTTTTTGGAAGTGATTGACTCACAGTCTGGATCGAGGGTTGGCTGTTGCCTGTTGTCATTTTACCCTCTATCTGAATGCTATGAGCCTATGATAGTAATTTAAGTCATCTGTTTTGACGATTAAAAATGTTTTTTTCCATCTCCTACTTTTAAGCAAATGATGCGTTACTTTTAAAAAATTCATTTGAGTCATATTTTGGGAATTTCTCTCTTTTAGTCGTATATTCGTATTTTTCTCCCAATTGTTTTTGTAACCTCATGTAATCAAATACTTCGTATGTTCTTAATTTTAAAGTTTAAACCCGAACAAATGATTCAGACATGATTAAATATTAAACACGCCATCTAAAATTCGAGAATTCGCATTAGGAAACAAAACTTAATGAGACACAAAATAATTACTTCGTATATTATATCCGTCCCGCTAAGATTGTTCATTTACCTTTTCGAAAAACCGCATTAAGATTGTCTCATTACCAAATTTGGTAAAGTTTGTATGACTCTCATTATTACTTTATCAGTTCAATACGAATAACATAGATTCACATTTCTTAATAATTGTGTCACTCCTCTTGTCCCAATGTTAGTGAGACGGAGGCAATATACAGTATTTACAGAAATTAAGTACTCCATGTCTCCAATGCCTTTTTAGCATTGTTAGGAACTTCGACCGACCAAGGATGTTTTCTTTTGAACGGAAACTTATTGGTCTGGACTGGTCTGGTCTGGTTAGATAAATGTCTGGTCTCTGTCTATTTTATAATTGTTCATGTCTGGTTTAGTCTAGTCTGGTTTGGTCTGTTTAAAACTGGTTTGGTGTGATCTGTTTAAGTGTGGTCTGATTTGATATGGTCGTTCTGTAACTGAAAACAATCCAAAAGAAAACATTCTAACTGTACTTTACTTTCTTCCCCTATCTTCTAAAATAGTTTTGCTACTAGATGAATTAGTTTATTGGATGGATCGATGGATGAAAAAGGGAAAACTATCAAATTGGCCCCCGTATTATTTAAAAAAATCAATTATACCCCCAAACTAAAAACACAATCAATTGAGACCTCAAACTTTACAAAAACATTCAAAATCAAAATTTTAGAGGTTAATTGCCGGTCAACCGGTCACTTGTCTACCTGGCTTGTTTTTAATTTTTCAATCTCTTTTTTTCCCCTTTTTTCACTCTATTCTGCCAACATCTTTCTATTGTTCAATTCTTTCCCTTTTTTCTTCTTCCGCCCAAACCTTCCCTTCTTTCTTGCTAGCGGATCGAGTGAACTGCTGACTTTGTCCATTGCCGGTGACTTATCTTCCTCGCCGGCGACTTGGGCAGCAAAGCTCTTGAACTTCCTCGTCGGCGGAGACGACGTCGTCTTCAACACATGTCATTGGCGAGACAGTACGAATTAGTGTAGGATATCACCGACGACTTCTTCTTGTTGCCTTTAAATCGACGGCATCGATCTATCTGAAATCCACGGCGCCATAGTTTCTCGCGCGGGAGAAGTAAGAAGCGGAGGGAGGGTGGCCGTAATTCCTTGTCTGGATGAAGAAAGAAGCAGGAGAGAATGGATGTCGTACTATTCTCCTAATTGCTTGTCTCGAAGAAGAAGGTGTAGAAGAATTGGGGATTGGGGACTGCAGAAGAAGTAGGTGGAGAAGAATAAGGGACTGAGGGAGGTCGAAGAAGAAGAAGAAAAAAAAGGAGAAAAGAAAAAAATGATTAAAATAAGGTAGATTCTATGGACCAATTAGAATCATGCAGTTGAATTATTTAAATCGAAATTAAAAGGGATTTAATGATTTGGACCAATCAAATGCATGGTAGGTACGGTATCTCATTTTTTAAAATAACCTATTAGGACTGCCACTTCAGCATAATGACCGGATGACTAAAAACATATCTACTAGATTACAAATTTGAGCATGTTTGTAAAGTTTAAGGTCTTAATTAAATGTTTTTTTGGTTCGGGGGCTTAATTGATTTTTTTAAATACTATGGGGGCCAATTGGATAGTTTTCCCATGAAAAAGTGAAGAGTCTCTTTGCTAATATTGAAATTGATTGAATTGGATGAATCTAATGAAAGTTATGAAACACTTGTTAAAGTAATTGAATTGGTTGAATCTATTGAATTATAGAAAAACTATATTTAAAATAAATTTTATTATGAAAATCAAGAAAAGATTATACGAAGAAATGACTAATGATATTATACACCAACTTTAGTCAATTCAATTAGAAAGTAACTTCAACCTTACTTATTATAATTATTACACAATTTGGAGTGTAAAGTCAAAAATTAATAATTTGATGAAAAATCTAGCTGATAAGCCGAAAATATGATCACCAAATATCCCAACCCCTAACACTTAAAATTCTACAGTAGATTTATACGGAGTACTCCGTAATATTTTTCTTTATTTGGTACAATCATTCATAGTAAGGATGTTTTCTTTTGGATTGAATTTTGGTGGTCTGACCTGGTCTGGTAAACGTCTAGTCTCTGTGTATTTTATAACTACAAAAATCTTGTTTAGTCTGGTCTGATCTGGTCTAATCTAGTTTGATGTGAAAGTGAAAATAGTCCAAAAGAAAACATGTTAATATAAGAGGAATGGTTAAACTAGCTAGACCGGGTAGAGTGACTCAAATGGAGCGTACACCAAATTTTCCCTTTATTCATGACGTCTTAATTTCATTATTGAGATGAATGAATCTGTGAGATTCCTGGTCCTTGTCCCATTCGACTTTAATTTGTTAACTTCCATTATTTCTATAGTAAATCATCCATACTTTTGCTCTCTTTTTTCCCAGTTCTCACGTATCGTCAACTGTTACTCCATCCCGAATCTGGTCAAAAAAAATAAAAACTTCGTCCTAAATTGTTTGGTCAAATCAACATTTTTTATCAATTAGGTTAAATATTCCCTCCGTAACAAAATAATCTTCTCATTTTCCTTTTCCGTCTGTAACAAAAAGATCTTCCTGTTTCTAATTTTTTCCATCATACCCTCAATAATTCTGAAAATAATACACTATTACGAGTATTTTTTTGGATTTATCCGATATTCCATCACATTATTCCACTATCTTCTTATCATACCCTCAATAATTCATATCCTCTTTCACTATTTTTAATCTACCTACTTTTGAAATGAGAAGCTTTTTTATGTTACAGAGGGAGTAATTCGTATTAAAAATTAATTCAATTTATAATTGAAATTTACATTTACAAAAAGTACATTAAAATCTCTATAAAAGTTGCAAAATTCAAATTTAAATTTAATTAAAAATTTATATCCTAATTAAGTGAATAAAATGAATTTATTTTTTCCAGAAAAATCAATTTTGTAACTCAATTTGGGACGGGGGACTATATTTTTTATTTTTCTTATTTCATACTACCTCGGTCCCATAAAACTTGACTAAATTTTCTTCTTTGATCTTTCAAAAAACTTTGTCAAGTCTATTTAAAGTGAAAATATGTGGCTAAAGTTATTTTTCTCTCCTTTGTACAAATTTCAATTACACATTTTCTACTTTATTATTCTACGTGCAAATCAACAGTATTCAAGTTTTATGGGAGGGAAAGAGTATCTAATACAAACTCGACAATTTTCTAAAAGGTTGAATCCCCATACCAAAGCCCCCACCCACGCCCTGACCCGAAATGATGTAAGTCACGGTAACTCACTCAACCCAATAGTGGTAGATATGATACATGTGCGCATCAAAGATCTAGTACAACATACAGAAATTATAACCTCCACATAATCAGTGCAAGTTTTTATCTTTGATTAATGTTGTGACTTTCCACTATTCAATCAACCGAGCCAGTGGTGGCCACTTAATAGGAACTACTCGCGTGCGACAATATCCCATATGAGGGGAGCTAATATTGTGTTTGTCGCGTAGTTACGTTTGACAGTTTTACTGCCAACATCGTGTATCACATGAGGAAGGGAGGCTGAGACGTTATGTCCAAATTAAAAGGAGAAAACAGCTAAGAGAAAGAGTGATTCCGTACTTATGTGTAATGATATCATCACAGTGGGCTATTTAAAGCTCTGCTTTTAGCCAGCATTGCTGCTGCCTATGAAAAGAGCTCCAACGGTTCACAACTTTTCTCTACACTTTCCCCCTTTCTCTTTTCCTTCCCAATTGGAAAGGGATTGAAATGGGAAGAGCCCCCTGCTGCTCCAAACAGGGCTTGAAGAAAGGCCCTTGGTCTTCCAAAGAAGATTCACTTCTTAACACTTACATCCAACAACATGGTGAAGGCCAATGGAGATCCTTGCCCAAAAAAGCTGGTACTTCCTGGCGTCCCGTTAAAGTTATCTCATTTCAGTTTTTTTGTTCGTTCCATTAGGATTGTTTCGTAATAAATTTGTTTAAATTTGTGTGCGTCTAAATTATTCTTATTTTATCAATTTAATATTATATGAACAAAAGTAAACTTTTTTTTCTTTAATAAGTGTATCACCTCCTTAATCTTCATCCACTACATTTGAAATATTGAGTTTTTGGGACATTCTGAAACAGGGTTGCTCAGATGTGGGAAGAGTTGCAGGCTAAGATGGATGAACTACCTGAGGCCAGGAATCAAGCGGGGGAACTTCACCGGAGACGAGGAGGATCTGATCGTACGGCTGCATTCTCTCCTCGGAAATAGGTGGTCCCTCATTGCCGGAAGGTTGCCTGGCCGGACCGACAACGAGATCAAGAACTACTGGAACACCCATCTCTTCAAGAAGCTGAAGAACTCCGGTATCGAGCCGAGACAGCGGCCGGCCGGGAAAGACTCTTCCCGGAAAAAACAACGTGCGGCAGACAAAGAAGACAAAAACAAGACAAAGAATAACAAGGAAAAGATATCATTGGAAACGGACACGGAGATGAAGGAGCCGTCTAAGGACAAAGTTTTGTACGCCCCGAAGCCGATCCGGCCGTCGTCCGTGTCGTCGCTTTCGAGGAATGGCAGCCTCGAAGACGTAGCCGGAAGCGTTTCGTCCAGTTCATCCGGGCAGGGCGAAAACAGAGTGTTTATCCCCTGGGATTTGTTTGAGCCCCGCCCGGACGATTTTTGTGATGACATCCTGAACGCCTTCGGTGATGTGTCGCCGCCGCAATGCCCGACACCCGGCTGCGACGACGGTTTGCTAGATAAGGTGTATGAGGAGTATCTCCAACTTCTTTCAGAGAATTGTTTTATTGAGGATGGCAATTGCCACTGGTCATAGAAAAATGTTGCACTGTAATGTCAATAACCCGCCTGCGAGAACTAGCCGCGCGCTTCGACAGTCAATAGTGTAAAATAGTACCCTTTGTATAAAATAAAATTGAAAAGCAGGAAAAACTGAAAAAGAATTGGCATCTAATTAACTTGTCTTTACTGTTCAATTGTTTTCTTAATTTTTCTCATTTATAGCTTTTTTAACCACCCAACCCCGGACGTTTTGTCTGTTTTTAAATTTTAACTATTTTTCAGTCAACGTAAAGTTTTTTGGATTTTTTAATTTATATATTTAATTTTTATCAAATTTAACTTTTTATTTTGTGATTCTATAAAGTAGTTTCTAAATATGTTTATTTTATGTACTAAAACAAATCTAACTACGAACAAAGAAGTTAATTTATGGCACTAATAATTGAGAAGAGACATCTATTTGATAATGAATTTTAAAGAGAAGTAAACGTCGTAATCGAAAAGTCATCATAATGATTATTAAAGAGAAGTTAATTGAGAAGAGACATCGACATGTTTTTAATGGGAATGAATACCGATCAGAAATACCTATCATTTTTGTTTGTTTCCTCAAAATGGTGGTAGCATTCAGGACTTTCCTCCCTAGACACCATTTGGAGTGGTTTGGGAGTCCAAATGTTAAAAATGGACTTCGTCCATATGAAAACAGTGTTTTGACTCTTATTTCTCTTTATTCCACCACCGTCAATAAAATGCACTCTGCACGTTTTTTACTTATCAATTTAGTAAAACATTAATTAAATTATTATAAGTAATGTTTTCCTTTTAATTTTTTCTCTGATTAATTATAAAATAAAAAAGTCACATTTCGATGTAAAAATAAATAAATTTCATTAATACTTTTTTTTTATGTTTTTGGATGAAGTGAGTTTAAACACATTGAAGTGAGTTCAAACACACGGAATAAATTAACATAACAAAACATGGAATTTAAAATTGAAACATACGTGAAATTCATTAAGTTGTTTACTAGGATTTTCGGAAAAAATATTAATTAAAATTAATGGGAAAATAAAATAAATTATTTTAATCGTCGAATTTCAATTTCAGCTGTTGGATCAATTGTTTTCACGTTTCAAACAGTGTCCAAATCATCACAACCGTTGGATCAACCAATATTTTTTTAAATAAAAAAGCTTGTGGGTGCTGTGTGACACTATCACGATGTCAGCATGATGTCATCTTGTGCAAATAATTCCTCCACACAAGGGCCACTTGGCCCACCTGGCCTCTTTCTCCCTGCGCACAACACATGCACCACCCCCACTCCGCCTTTACTTTCCTTATCCTTTAATTTTAGGGAGTCAACACACCCTTCAAATATAGCTCCCTCCATGCTCTTCTCCATTTTTACTCCCTCATATAGCCAACCACTACAAGAAATTAGGAGTCCAAAAATTTCACTTTTAGCATTTTGGACTCCTAATCCTACACCAATCCAAGTGGTCTTAGGGAATTTGTTGAGAAATGTCAATAATAAGTATATGTGTATATATATATAATTCGAGTTCTATTACAAAGTAGTCTCAGTTCTCATGTAAAGTGAAAATGGGTCTTATGTTTCCAATCACTGTAAAAGTAAGAGCTTAGAATATGCGTTGCCTGGCAAGATTTGTGCACTGAGATTGCACACAATTAACATTACAAGATGTGCATGTAAGATGTTAGAGATTGTATAATCAAGCCCTATTCGTTGATTCAGTTGGGAAATTTTTTGGGTCCGTTTCTGAAGAGCCGCGGTTTCCGTACAATTTTTGGCCGTATTGTTAGCCGCACGTCCTAGTTATTTTGGGGTTGATCCGAAATTAATAGCAATTCCTGGTTTGGTAGCGCCCCCAGACGTAGTCCTTTGTGGCGAACTGGGTTACCATATTTCGTGTGTTCTTTTCTTATTGTTCTTCATATTGCGTTAATTAAATCCTAACAATTGGTATCAGAACTCTAGGTTCGAAGGGAGAAATCAATACGATGACAGACAATTTGAAGACCCCGTTGATGCAGTTTGATGGAACGGATTTTGGTTTCTGGAAGTTGCAGATCGAAGATTACCTGAACGGTAAAGATCTGTACCAACCTCTGGATGACAAGCCGGAAGATATGAAGGAGAGCGATTGGAAGTTGCTGAACAGGAAGGCAATGAGCGTGGTTCGATTATCGCTGTCCAGAAACATCGCCCTACACACCGTCAAAACAATAACAACGAAAGAGATGTTGCAGATATTATCGGATATGTACGAAAACCATCTGTTGCGAACAAGGTTCATCTGATGAGGCATCTTTTTAACCTAAAAATGTCATAAAGCACGACAGTTGAGGAGCATCTGAACGAGTTCAATTTAATCACCACACAGTTGAGCGCGGTTGATGAGATCAAATTCGACGATGAAATTCAAGCCCTAATTCTGTTGTCTTCTCTACCAGAAAGCTGGAACGGAACGGTGACTGCAGTCAGCGCTTCAGCAGGGAAATAGAAGTTGAAATTCGATGAAGTTAGAAATCTGGTGGTCAGCGAAGAAATTCGCACGAAAGAATGAGGCTTGACTTCATGATCAGTAATGAGTACAGAGAACCGGGGCAGATTGAAGTCGAAGTCAAAATCAAATCGAGATAGATCAAGATCAAAATCCAAATCAAACAGCAAAGGTAAGAAAGATAGAAGCTCAATCAAGTGTTGGAACTGCGAAGACTATGGGCACTTCAAAAGCCAATGCAAGGAGCAGATCAAAGATAAGAAGGAGAAGACATCTGTCAATGCAACTGTTGATTCATCTAGCGATGATATCCTGATCATGAGGTAATTTTGAGCGTGAGCAGTCCTTCGAAGTCATGGATTCTGGATATTGGAGCTTCGTTCCATTCATGTGGTAATGTTGAATTGATGGAACAGTATACTCCCGGTAATTTTGGAGAGGTGTATCTTGCTGAAGACGAGCCTCTTAAAATTGTTAGAAAGGGAACGATCCAGGTGAAAACTTCCAACAGATGCATGCTGAAACTGAATGGTGTCCGACACATTCCTGGTTTGAGGAGAAATCTACTTTCAATTGGGCAGCTGGATGAAGAAGGTTATGCAGTCACATTCGGCAGCAGAAATTGGAATATAAGTAAAAGGGCAATGCTAATTGCTAAAGGGAAAAGGAGGGTACGTTGTACATGACAACGAACTCGAAGGACTGCATTGATGTTGCTGCTGCTGAAACAAACGATGTGAACTTATGGCACTGTCGGCTCAGTCACATGAGCGAAAAGGGGTTGAAGGAGCTGTGCTCGAAGGGTAAACTGCCCGACCTGAAAACTGTTGAAGTTGGCTTATGCGAGAACTGCATATTCGGGAAATAGAAACGTGTCAGTTTCTCAAAGGGAAGAAGAGCTATCAAACCGGAGAAGCTGGAATTAGTTCACACCGACCTATGGGGACCTGCAGAAGTAACATCCTTGGGAGGATCCGCCTACTACATGACCTTTATTGATGATGCCACTAGAAAGGTGTGGGTTTATTTTCTCAAAAATAAATTTGATGCCTTTGATGATTTCAGGAGATGGAAAGCCCTTGTTGAAACGGAGTCATGTCTGAAGTTGAAGTGTCTTCGGTCTGACAAAGTAGGTGAGTATGAAGTGCATGAGTTCAAGAAATTTTGTGCTGGGAATGAGATTCATAGGGAGAAGACAACAAAAGGGACTCCATAGCATAATGGCGTTGTTGAATGTATGAACAGAACACTAAATGAGCGGGCTAGATGCATGAGGTTGAAGGGTGGCTTACCAAAGATGTTTTGGGCAGATGTAGTGAACACCGTGACTTTTCTCATCAACAGAAGCCCAACGATCTCGTTGGAGAATGACATACCTGAAGAAAGATGGAAGGGGAAAGAGATTAATTTGTCCTATCTCCGCATATTTGGTTGTGTTGCTTATGTTCATATCAGTTCTGTTGACCGAAGCAAGCTGGACTCTAAATCTGTCAAATGTATGTTCATTGGATATGGTGGTGATGACTACGGATACAGATACTGGGATGAGCAGAATATGAAGATTATTCGTAGTCGAGATGTGGTCGGTTTTTAATGAACAGGTTATGTACAAAGACATATTGAGTGCATCTGATTCTGAGTGAGACAGTCCGAAGATCATAGAGTTAGATATCTCTAATTCGGGTGGGAGCAAGCAGGATCAAAATGAAGAGGTAAGCAGTTACGAAGATCCATCAACACCACCACGGCAGAGACCTACCAAAAACCGAAGAGCACCAAATAAGTATTCACTTTCTAATTTCTATTTGTTGCTTACTGATGGTGGTGAACCTGAGTCCTATGCAGAGGTAGTTCGGGTTGATGATAAGGAAAAGTGGAAACTTGAAATGGATGATGAGATGGCATCTCTCACATCCAATGATACTTGGAAGTTAATTGAACTACCGAGAGGAAACTAGGCTTTGCACTGCAAGTGGGTCTACCGCATCAAGAAGGAGGCAGATGGTAGCAAACGCTACAAAGCTAGGCTGATTGTGAAGGGATTTGAGCAGTGGTATGGCATCGACTACACCGATATATTCTCTAGTAGTGAAACTAACTACTATTCGGTTAGTGTTGAGTTTAGTTGCTGTAGAGAACTTGTTGTTACATCAGATAGATGTAAAGACTGCATTCCTTCATGGTGACTTGACTGTTGAGATTTACTTAGTGCAACCGGAGGGCTATGTGGCAGAAGGCAATGAGAATCTCGTGTGTAAGCTAGTGAAGAGCTTGTACGGGTTGAAGCAGGCACCGAAGCAGTGGTACAAGAAATTTGATGGTTTCATGAGGGACATAAATTTCTTGAGATGCCACACCGACAATTGCTGCTACTACAAGAGGACTGAAAACTATTATCTTATCCTGTTGTTATATGTTGATGATATGTTGATTGCAGGAGCTAGTTCAAAGAAGATTGAGAAGCTAAAGAATTAGTTGTCAGGACATTTTTCCATGAAAGATCTTGGAGAGGCGAAGCAGATTTTGGGCATGCGAATTGAGGGGGTGTAATAGTGTAATTAATACCATTAATTTGGTTTCCATATTTATTAGGTTTCCTAATGTATTCAGGACATATTTTATTATATACTCCCTCCATCCCGTAAACAACTTCCCACTTTTC